GGGGGGTTGTAGTTGTTTGGCAGGCCCAGGCTAGATTCGAACCTGCTATCTCCCATGTATGTGGCTGGCACCCTAGCCACTGAGCTACAGGCACTGATCCTGCAGTTGAAATTTCAAGCAAGAGTTGTTATGGAAGGATTTGGTACATTTCAAGGATAGTATTTGTGTTGGCAAAACTTGAGAATAAATTGGTCTTGAATTGAGTGGAGTGTATCTTGACTTGAACTTTTCTCTGGGTGACAGGCTGAGTCTCATGAGCAGAGTATGGACCAGAATGCTCTGTTCAGCTGCAGCACTCCTCCCACCAGGGTACCCTGTAGGGAATGAGTGCTGGGTACAGGCCTCTGGTTTTTGTGGGGTGGGTCAGGGATAAGCTGCTATGGTGATGCACCGTCACTTGGCTGTCTCCTAGAGAAGTTTTAAAACGAATGGCTAATTTTTGTGAGAAATTTTTTTTCAATTGTACTTTTCAAGGTTTTATTTTTTTTCTTTTGTTTAGCATGCCTGGGCTGGGTTTGAACCCACCAGCCCCAGAGCATATGGCTGGCACCCTAACCACTTAGCTACGGCGCCCCCTGTGAAATTCGTTTTAAAGAGACTGGCGATCCAGTTTGGAAAATTGGTTTTAAAAAGACTAGAGAACACTTTGCTTCAGTCTGTTCATGATCTTTATTATAAAGTATGCCATAATCCAGGGATAGGGTGCTGTTTATCAGCTACTTTAGAAACCAAAGTTTTCAAGAATCCCTGTCCCCTTGTGTTCTCATTAATCACCCTGATAACTGGAACAGCTTGAGATGTTTGAGAAGGGGTTGCTGGAGATCCAAGCCAAGAGCAGCTCCCATTGGAGTGCCTGGCTGAAGGGGGATGATAGGCCATGGCCTATGGTGGGGCCTGTGTGGCAGGGGCTGGGGCTTGGGATGCTCCAGACACTGAACATCACAAAAGTTATTTACATCATGTCCTTCAGTGTAACAAAACCCAGCGGGGCCACTGTGAATTCCCCCTAGAGTCAGGATCCAGGTCCTCCTGTGCCCTACTTGCTAGAGCCTTTTTCCTGAGCCCAGAGGGTCCCATCTGGGCTGCTGCAGTCCAGCCTGTCCTGATGCTAGGGTGGCTCTGCAGCAGGGTGACTTGTAGCAGTTTGCAGCAGGATTCCTAGAGGGAGGAGGAAGCCACTTTATGGCTGGTCCCTGGGGTGAAGAGGAGGATCACCAGCTAGGGCTAGGAGTACTTGGTGTTGGAGATAGTCTTCCACAAAAGGGCCTTGAGGTGGCTGAGCACCAGTGAGTGGTGGGCCTCCACCTGGCTGGCCAGCCCACTCAGTGTGGTGCAGGTGCGCAGCTGCGTGCCTAGCTCCTCACGGAGGTCTGCGGGGGCACCAGGCAGCAGGTAGTCCCGCAGCAGCTCGCACACTTTGGCCAGGTTGGGCTGGATGAGGTCGCCCTTGCACTGCCTCATGAGCCTATCGCACGGGGCCCTGCAGTCTCGGCCATAGGTGCAGTCTGCGCTGTGCTCACAGCGGCGGCCCTGCAGGAAGCGGCGCACGGCAGCCTCAGGCGCCACCTGCTGCAGGTTGGCCATCTTGAAGTCGTAGGTGGCCGTGTAGCCCACGTTGGCCAGAGTGGTCTCACACATGTAGAAGGTCCCATAGGAGCCATGGAAGAGTTCCTCCACGAACTCCAACAGGCCGATGGCGATCTTGGCCCGCCAGGGCCATGCGGGCCCCAGCCACTGCTGCAGGGTGTCTTGCAGGGCGGGGGGCAGCAGCGGGCGCAGCAGGGGCGGCAGTGCGGCCACATGCCAGGGTCCGTGGGGGACACCTTCAGTAAGGTACAGGTCCCCACAGTAGCCCAGCAGCCGGGATGCATGCTCCTTCTCCTGCAGGGACAGCAGCAGCAGGAACTCGTTGCGCTGCAGCAAGGCCCACACGGACTTGGCTTCAGCCAGGGACACCCGGCTGTCCTTGTTAAAGTCGGCCATGAGCAGGACCTGGCTGACCAGTGCCGGCAGCGATGGAAGGTCTCCCAGGTTTGCCTGGCATGTGGAACCATAAGGAGGGAGCCTTGGTTGTTCAGAAGCCCTGGGAGCATGACCTCCCCTGACCTGGTCCTCTTGGCAGGGTGGCTGTGGGCAAGACTAGTGCACCTACCCAGGGTGGGGAGTCCCAGACTGCAGCTGCACAGCTAGGGCACAGCAACGGACATGGGGCCCTCACATTCCCTGGCCTGTGCTCCTGCTGCTGCCAGACGGTCAGACCTCCCGATACCAGCTGTGTAGGGAGCCTGGGTATTGGGCACCTGGGCACAGGAAGCCTCAGTGGGCAGAGCCTGGCAACCCTTCATCCCTGAGCCCTTATTTCTACCTCCCAGCCTGCCCTTGGCTCCTGCCACAATGGACCCACTGGGTCCTCTGTCCTGGTCCCTGCCTGCCCATCTGCTGCCACCCCCCCACCCACCCCAGAGAAACTGCTTCTCTGGCCTGCCTCCTGCCCAGGGTTACTTGTGCCTGGTTGTGCTTTTACACTGTGGGCATATAGGTGCCAGGGCTGCCTGCTGCACACGTCCTGGGTGTGCACTCTGCAGCTGCTGCAGATAACCCGCCACCTCCCCAGCAAAGGTGTCTGACCTTGAGGAAGCTGAGTGTCATCTCCTGGAATTCCTTAATAGAGGTGCCCCGGGTGGGTTTGTCAAACAGCACTAGCTCCCGCCGGGGGACTGCATCCGGCCCGGCCTTAGAGTCCAGGACTTCCTCAATGCCACACTTGATGGTCACATCCTTGTTCTGCCAGAGCCCACTATACACCTGGAGGGGAGTGTAGGGTCCTCTGTGAGATGTGCCCCTCCCACGGCAGGGGTGTTCCCCCCCCCCACCTGTGGGCTCACCTGCTGGCTAGGGGCTGAAGACAGGCAGGTCCTCCATTCCACCTTGTGCAGCTCGCACAGGTCCTGGCAGATGGAGCCTGAGATGATGCCCTTGCGGTACTGGTCACACTGAGGAGACAGCGCAGGGTGTGGTGGTGGCAGGGGCTGAGTGAGCCCCACACCCCATCTTATACCCGCCTACTGGCAAAGCAAAGTGGCCGTCGGGCTGTAGGTAGGGCCAAAGCCCCCACAGTCTATGCCAGGGTCCAGCATGCCCCTGATTACCTGGAAGTAACAGTTTTCTCAAAGAAACCTCAGACTGCTGGAGCTGGTAACCCGGCAGCCTCAGGCCCACACTGGTCCCTGAGCCACACTGCAGGCCAGCCAGGGGCATGCAGAGGCTGCTGCTGGCTCACTGGAGGATGGGCCTGTCTCTGTGGGGCAGAGCCCCTCCCTATCCCATTGGGAGACTACCCCACCCTAATTGTCCAGCCCAAGCCAGTGGCCTCAGGTAAGAATAAAGACTTAGATTGGGGGTCTTCAAAAAAAAAATTTTTTTTTTTTT